TCAATCATCACAGTGTTCTGTATCAAAACTACATCAAAATTCAGTGTTAAAGAAAAAAGGAGCTCAGGATCAGATAAACATGAGAAACAAAGAGAAGGGATTGAATTCAGAAAGAAAAAACATAAGGGAACCTGGAGTTTGGTACAGCTGTAGCGCGGCGTAGCGCTACAAGTCTGAACGCTGCCTAACCAGCGAGCTGACGCTACCTCTCGACATTTGCAAATTTCGATCTACCGTGAGGTCGAGGAGGGTAACTAGTAATAGTTACTTCACGGTTAAATGGTCCCCACGACTTCGCATCGCGGCGGCTGATTAAGATGAGCCAAAACCCTTCTTCTTCATCCTAACGTTGTCCCGCTGGTGCAGAGTCCTTTCTTCGGATCGACAAGCGCCACTTTGCCTGATCTAGCGCATCTTCTTTACGGAGGTTTCGCTGAGGACGCTGAGTTATAACTTTATTGATCGATATCGTTGGATGCTTAACTGGTCTAAAGAAGTTGTCTAGGATTGTTGAGGCGCTTGAGCGGGCGAGTCATGCCCGTTTTTTTTTGTCAAATTCAGGGTCTGACAAGGGTGAAGACGCCTGACGCCAAAACGTAGGCCTAATAATAAAGCCATCCAATCTCGTACAGGCTTGAAGAAACACGAATAACGAAATATGAAGAACCTGTATGGAACTTGCAAGTACAGTAAGTGCAAGTTTCTCAGTATTGTTCGCTGCGGACGTTGGGTCGCGTGAGGGGGACAGAACTTGGGCGGAGCCAGCCAGTTTTCCACCAAGTGAATACGTCTTCAGCATCCCCAATTCCACAAATTAGCTGGCCAAACCCACTCCCCCCCTGACCGCCACAGCGTCCCACGGGCGGAGGCCCGAACGGCCCTCGGTTATCGCTTTATGCCGGCCTCGTTCCCATGCACTTTTGACTGGAAAAAATGGCCGCTACTGCTGCTGCTCACACATGGCAAGGACTAGAATTGAAGGAAGGTGTGTACAGTTTGTCTTTAACGCTATCCAACTCTAACTTGCAATTGTGGGGCTCTTCTCCGGAAACATTTAGTACACTGAATGAAAAAATCACAAAAAATCACCTTAAATGAAAGAAAACTCCGTCATGTTGAGTTCTATGAGTAAATCTTGTACATGTGCGGTCGCACTGCTCGGCAAGCCAGTTCTAAAAAAATAATTGTACCGTTCCTGCCACTACCAACCAGCAGATTTACTTGGGAAACCAACCTCATATTTTGAATACGAAGCAAAACGCCTGGTAAATACTGAGTAGTCTTGAGGTTCACCAGTGAACCCATTTTCACGGTGAAGTCTTGCGCAATGTCTGGCCAAACCCACGTGATCCAGAACCTCTGCTCTGCACACAGGACAAGGTACTAATGAAAGCGTCAACGTGCATCATTACTTTCGTTGATGGCAGCTTCTCCGTGTGAATGTGTCTGAGCCACTCGGCAGTGTTCTTCCCTTCGTGAAGCCGTGATGCCTCATTGCAGTATGCTCTGTTACAAACTCCGATTGAAGTATGATGTTCCGAACAGGAGATTCACACTCAGCCACAGCAGTTCACTCATTACCTGGAAAGGCTAAGCACTTCTGCACACTCACTTTCTCGTGGTCAAAACTGCGATCACTAAGGCTGTTAGGTAAAAGTAAGTGTTAGCAGTAAAAGAACGGAGCTGTTGTCGAAGATTCACGATAGGTAATTCTAGTTCGCTGCAGATCAAGGAGGCGTGTCAGGCGAGATGAGTCTGGCGCGGTGTCAAACCCGTTCTCTGACAGTTGTTGAAGCGAGTGTGCAACAACTGTTGGTAGAAAACATGACACAATCGACATGGTACAATCTTCTCACTTGCTCCCTTGGTGACGACGGGTTTGGCACCGCGCAAAACTCAACCCGCCTGACACGCCCCTTTGTCCACAGTGAACTAGACTACGTGGTATCCAAGTCATAGAAAGTTTATCCGACAGGCTGTTAATTAACGAATCCACGCTAACTTCTATTTCCTAGAGTTTATAGGGTGTCTATCTCAAACTACCTTTTCCGATCACCTGGTAGGTAGAATCTCTGCCTTGTATAAGTAGTTCGCTCAGCAGAGGTTGTCCTACTTTGCGGGTCAACAGTGAATGGCGAAGACGCTTCTGTCGTCCTAACCCAAGG